TTTTTGTCGGGGTGTTCTTTTGATGTATAGAAGTGGTCTGACTTCGTTCACGCAACTTGTTCATGTTGCCAAGACGACTTATTTGGAGGCATCTTGTTTAAAATCCTCTGCTTCTGAAGATTCGTGGTTATAACAAACAAGATATTTGAAAAATGTTGTCAATAACATTAACATTTGTCGTTCGTATCAGTTAATTAACCATTTGCATTTTGCCACATTTTCCATCCATAATCTTCTTTTCGGTTTTTCGGAATCAAGATTATGCCTTTTAATTTTTATTACCGCCAGAGATATTTTATTCTCTCCTTATGCTATTTTTTTGCCAGTCGTAGGACAAACAAAGTTATCTCTATTATAGACAAAGTTCAAATGCTTGATATTATAATGTTGTTCTAAAGAGCACTTCATAATGGATTTTCAAAATCCATCTATCGCTTTTGTTATTCAGCGTCCTAGTTGCACTGGTAGAACGCTCTCAAATTCTGGTATGGCTGGCTCGAGTCTGGCTGGGCAGCAAAAGCGCGCTCGCTATCCGGTTATTGATGACTCAGATGCTGATTGGACCACCGGTAGTGGCGCCAACTCTCGATCCGTTGTTGGATCTTGTGGTAGTGTGGCACGCCGTGGCCAATCGTCATCACAGACTTTCGTAGGCCAGGATGAAGAGATAAGGTCCACTTCTGCCGGCCTTGTGATGCACAGAGTCGCCGAACATCATCTTGGTCAACCACCAGCACAACGGCGTATGCAGCAACAGCAGTTGAAACATGCATATCTACCACCACATCCGGCCCCCTCGCAGCAAGCAACATCAGGACAGACACAACTCCAGAATCACCGTGGTCTCCAAGTACAACAACAGGTTAAATTCCTTGTTTATGTTTTGCAAACATGAAACTTACATATAGTGAGGATGCCTTTATCTCTTTTTTCGTCATCTGTTAGCGATCATTTATCAGGCGTCAATACATTTTTCGATGTTTTGCTGTATCGCAAAGTGATTAAGTCAACATTCGAATATGCAGCAGTGCAACCGAAAGTATGAAGACCAAAATGGTGTAACTTTTTGTGATCAGTCTCCTTTCGTTGTATAGAAGTTGTTTGACCTTGTTTTCGCAACTTTGTCATATTGGTAGGTAGACTTAGAGGAACACACCTAGTCCGGAGTCCATTGTATGCATGATCATTTTCAGAGTAAACCCGTGGATATGGTACATTCCCAGACGTCTCGCCGGCATCGTAGTCGGCATCGTCAGTGAGTCTCGTCATTCTTAGCACCACACAACAACTCGTCAAAGAGACAAATGAAGCCAATCCTTTGATCAAATGTATGCTAAACAATTGTGGTATCTCCCCTTCTGTCCTG